TGAAATCAGTGGGGACAAACAAAGGCAGTTTCTTGGGGCAGCAATGTTCTTGATGTATGTTACCTTCATTATAAGAACATACAGAAACATGTACAATTAACAATTTGATGGATGGGTAAGTGCAGTAGGACCTTCTGTCCCTGTCCTCAATGTTCAATCACCATTGTCACATCTCACCAGTGAATGATACAGTAGAAGATGACATCTGCAGAGGAAATGCTATTGTACGTGTGCATGTCTCATCTGTTATATGTAATCTCATCTATGGAGAACAACTGTACCAGATGTCAGCTAAGCTTCATTTGTCCCCAGTGCTGCCATTTCATAGGCCATTTTTAAATAGTAGGGTTAAGCAATGTGATGTTTGCAGATACTTTTCATTATCTACACATTCCTACCTATGCTTGACATTAATTTCTTTTACATCCTTTAATTTCTTTTCAAATTAGAAATGAGTATCCTGCAAAGAGGGCACCAACCTGGCTTATCATTCTGATTTCTGACAATACTTCTGGGTCCCATATTAGCCAATAGTATTAACAAATAAATATGCTGCATGATTACAGGCCATGCCTTTGTTTAAAAGAGTGACCCCTTCTCCAAAAGAAAGAAAAGAAAAAAGAAAAACCCACAATAAGTGGGGTAGCAGGTACCCTGGGAAGCTAGAGGATTGGAATGGCTGAAATCTAATCTCTTTTCTACTTGTGTTGCATGTACAATGCATATTTTTTTAAAAAGGCAGAGGCTCTACTGTTGGTTGTGATTATTGTTTTGAACTTTTTGATACCTCCTCTCCTAAATTAATGCTTGTGATGGAGAGTATTCCCTCAACATGTTCTGTAACTGGATTGACACACCATAGCAGCCATTTTGTGATAAGGCCCATAACATTGATTCAAAATTCTACATGTGCCTATTGGTACAAAACTATTCCTCTCTTCAGGTAATATAACATAGTCAATATTATCAGGAAAATAAAACTGCTATCAAACAATAGCTGTGAGCAAAGAGATCTTTAAACAGGACTCCCTTTTCATGCAGGAGACATTTATCTGAAACTATTCCATTAGTCTTCAAAGAGCAGCACATGACGTCCAAAGTACACTTCTTGAGTGCCCTGAAGTAGAAAATAAAAAGAGAGCTTTAGATAAAGAATGCAAGAAGCGATTGTTCAGCAGCTAGTCAGGTACAATTTTCTCTGGCTCTAGAGTAGCCATCAGAAAGCCAGTTTGATGTGGTGGTTAAGACATTGGAATAGAAACTAGGAATTAGGTATGAAAATAGCTAAATAATTTTGGGACAGTCACTTTCTCTTAGCCCTAGGAAGAAAACAAAGGCAAACCACTTCTGAAAATTTTGCCAAGAAAATTGCAGGGACTAGTCCAGACAGGATGTCAGGAGTCAAGACTGACTTAAATGCAAAAAGGAGAAGTGATTATTTAGTTGCAAAATCTTGACAAGGTCAGCTTCTCTCCTCTCTGGGGCTATTTCTGTTGTAGCCTTTTCAAAATTTCTTTATTTTATATCATTTTAATCATTTGAAGATGTGGAAATGGGTATAGAGGAAGGCCAGACAAATCAGCTCTAGAAAAGCACAGGTTTGTGAAATCGCACCCATCTCCTTCAAGTTGACACACATAGACCCCTCCCCATTGCTTCACATTCTTTCAAGAGGCTGATGTCAGGCTGAAAAGGAGTACTGTAGCTGCAAAACTGCAGTGACAATCCATTAACACACAAGCAAATCAGGACATCACATATCTGGAAGTGATACCAATAGAAGCAGGGTAGAGATTGGCAATGCTGCCCCTGTTTTGTGCTGACTCAAGAAGAGTGGTGGCTACTTTGGCCCAATAGTAACAAAAGAGCTGTAGTTGAATGATGACACTACTTCTTTATACTTTCTCTAGATTTGTTAGCAGCCTGCACCTTTATCGGTATCAATAATGATGATGGAATACGAGAGTTGTGGTTAAACACCTTGGAATGCAGAATGTTGCCCAGCCTTCCTTTACAGCTATATTCAGTTCAAGTATAAATCCTTATCTTTCTGCTTTCCCAATGGATTGATTTCTGATTTATATTTTCTGCTTTCCTGGGCAAAATAAAAGATTTAGATAGGGCTAGTAAATTTGAAGCATTTTTCTGGCAATTTCTTTTCATCACTTCTTTTTTTAAAAATGGGAATAACAGATTTATAACAGGCTATAATTCTGAAAGGAAATATTATTTCAAGCCAGCAAAAATTCTCAGACTAAGAATATCTTCTGATAGCCACCAAGTACCTTCTCTCTTGTTCCACTAGACAAATATTTGAAGGTTTTCTAGAGCAGAGCTGGAGGACATGCAGAGAGGTGAAGAGAATAAGTTAGAATTACTAAATGTCTGGCAAAAGGAGATCATGTCCTTCTTTTTTTCCTCATGTTCTCAAACTGGCAGGCATAGTCTTAAAACAATATGTTGTCTGGCTTTTCCACTATTTTTTTAATTATTATTTTGGACTGTTTTTACAACAGTAGCAATTTACATTTTTGTGTAATGTGATCTTGTAAATATTCTGCTTCGTTCTTTTCCACACCCGTCAACAGACTAGATTTATGTTGTTTATTTCCTGATTCCAGAAATTGGCTTCAACACTGCACCTTCAAATCATATGTTTCTATGTTAAAATTTGAAAAGAGCATTGTTGTCAGTTTTGTATTATAACTGGCATATGTTCTTGAACATACAGACCTGTTGGGAAAATATTGCAATTGAAAAAACCAGTTTTTTCTGATGCTGGAAATTACATGTCGACCCAAATACATGGCTTTGCTGTTTTTTACTGTAATTTTTGTCATGGATGCCAAGAAAGTTAAACAATGTCTCCTCCTTTTCTCTCCATTGTTCTCCTTTATCTGTCCAGATATCTGGTAACTCTAGGATGAGAGGACAGCAGAAAGTCTCAAAAATGAATGGAACTCCTACTCACATAGTCTTCACTGTAGATCTAACAATTTTAGTATGCATATAGTATCAAGAGCTTAGGGAAGATGGAAGGATAAAGAGTAAACAACAAAGAGATGTGTGGTAATTTGAAAAGTACCAGAATTATTACTATACGGCATTAATGTTCCTGCATTTTTGTCTACCAGACCTCATTCAATTTGAAGAAAGAACACTCATTTTTAAAAAGAAATATTTAAAGAGGAAAACAAATTTCAGACACATTCTTGTAGGTGGAATATAGTCCTACTGAAATTAATTATGTGTGTATGAATGTCCCTTTTTTCATTGGGTGATATGCTCTCCAGTTGTCTGCAACCTCCTAGATTTTCTATCTGTCGACATTCATGCTGTTGTTACCCAAGCATTTTGTATTCAAAGAGAGACCTACTACCAGCTGACATTGATTGATAGTTAGACTTTTTTTGGTGATGGTGGTAGTGGTTGGAGTTGTACTATGTTCAAAAAGAGTGAAAAGGTTATAGTATTCTTCTGTAGTATTATATTCATGTTATTTAAAAAGCTGGATATGACTTCAGCAATTTTTCTGAAGAGTCCTAACCCTATGTTCAAAAGCGGATCAAATAATAATTGACAAGTACAGTAAATGTTGAGTTTCCATTTGGGGGAGAGAGAGAGAGAGAGAGAGAGAGGGAGGGAGGGAGGGAGGGAGGGAGGGAGGGAGAGAGAGAGAGAGAGAGAGAGAGAGAGAGAGAGAGAGAGAGAGAGAGAGAGTGAGAGAGAGTGTCAACTACCAACTACCTTTCTCCCACTCCTGCAGTCTTACTCATTGTTGGTCAGCTGTCGTTCAGGTCCCTGGATATTGGAGGTCATCCTGGAGGATACTGTCTAGGGATTTGAAGGGGCAGGGAATGCCCGCACCAGCTAAAGATTCCCCAGTCTCCTTGGGAGAACCTGGATCAATCTCATTCCCTAGCAATCCCTTTATTGTGCCACCAAGAGAATAGTTAATGAAGCATATCAGATTAAACAAACAGTAAAGCTGCCTTGGCTTGTTAGCTGCTTAAGGGGAAAAAGACAACCTCAAAACTGGAACAGCTAAGACTTAAGGCTGCCTCAGGTATGGGCTGGGAAGAAGATGAAGACACGACGAGAATGTGACAGAGAAAAGATGCAGCTGGATTAAAGGCAAGTACAGAAAAGCTCACAGTTGCTGCATTTCATATTTCCATTTTGTTTCATTGTTTGATGGTTGGGGCTATAGAACATTATTGAAATAATGACACAAATTATGTGGGTGGAAATAATAACTTTTCTGGTTGTTGGGTGGGAAAATAGGATTTTAAAAGCATATTTTACGGTCTATATTACATTTTTTGTGTGTTTCCTAGTTCAAATGTCAGGGACTTATTGTGGAGGAGAGGATGTCCAAAGGCTGCGAGCAAACAAGGGGCTTGGTAGGCCATATTAAACATCCTGGAACCTCGGTTTACCTCCCTGTAATAAATCCATTGAACCTTTAGATGTAGAAGCCTTATGAATTCCCTCAATTCTTCTTTCTTTGCCACCCCAGTTTCTACTCACAGTTTTGTTTTTAAAGATTTTACAATGTTAATCATTATGTTCAACTGAGAATAGGTAAATCTGGCTATAATTTATTCCACACTGGAGAAAAATGAATGTTGCCTTCCTAATGTCCTCGTGCCTTTTTTTTAAAATAAGGAGTTATGGATTTCCTGACCATTATTCTTATGCAAAGCAACTATCACATTAAAAGAAAGAAAGTGGGGGGAGGAAAACAGAGAAAGAGAGCGGTAAAACTTCTTCAGTCAGCAAGTAGTCACTGAAATCTCCAGGGTTAGATGCTAATTGGCTATCTTGCACATTAAATGTGTACTATTCTTCTGCTAAAGCTATTGAAGTGTGTTATGCCAGTAGCTACTAACTGCTGATCTTGCCACTAAAATTAGTTTGTTGTTATCCTGTTGTCATGGAGTGAGAACTGTTGTGTATGTAATTTGAACAAAGCTATAATACTGAATGAAGAAGAAAATGTTAATGATCTTCCTTCCAACAAGGAGTCCTTTTTCTTTTTAATTGCTAAATTGTAAGTTACCTTACATTACTTTCAATATCTCAAAAACATACCAAATATAATTTGGGCGCTAGGAGAAACATATTAGTTTGGATAATAGCACTCTTTTTAATCTTCCAGTGAATTTAACTGATGGAAAAGAAACTAATGACTCTGGCCAATACGGCTTAAAAACAGGGAAAGAGTTTAAAAGATTGTATGGGGGAAGGGGAGATATGATCTCTTTAAGATTTGTAATAAAAGTTGCAATGAATTCAAAATAAGACATAATAGTTTGCTAGGTTCCAAAACTATTATACTTGTCTCCCACAGATATATAATGAACTATTTAGCCATCAACGATATAACGTTTCCATGGCCAGCTTTAAAACCTAGGATAGAATTAAACAGAGATGAATATAAAACTCTGCATCTAAGTATGAAAAATAAAAGGCAAAAATAAACGATGTGGGGGGGGGGAGACCTGATTTAGCAATAGCACATGTGAAATGATCTGGGTGTCCTTTAAAGTTGAGCACAGGTTATACATTGGCCAAGAGTATGATGCAACTACTAAAAAGGCAAATGCTATATTTGGTACATTAATGAAAGCATAATGTGTAAATCACAAGAAATAATTGTTCCTATCTGACCTGGATAAAAACCACATAGAAATATTGTGTCCTGTTCAGGGCAACACAGTTCCAAAAGGATAGTGACAAGAGGGATATTCAGAGAAGACTACCAGAATAGTGAGTGATCTGGGAAGCAAACCCTGTAAGAAATGGTGAAAGGAACTAGGTATATCTCATCTACAGAAATGATTATTAAAGGGGAATATTATAGAAGTCTTTCAAATTCAAATGAAGGTTGTCAGACACAAGAGGAAATTGAGCGTTTATACAATACCCTAGAATGCAAGACCAGAGCCAGTAGGTTAAAATCACAAGAATGTAGGTTCAGATTAGACATCAGGAAGTCATGAATTGGTGAATTCCCTTTTGTTGAAGATTTTCATACAGAAGCTAGATGATTGCCTCTCAGAGATGCTCTAGGACTCTTGCACTGAGCAGGTGTTGATCTTTATGGTCACTTCCAATGCTTCAATTATTATATGATCCTGCATAAAATGAATTTCCAAAGAACTTTCTTTATGTTTGTTAACTGTGCCAAGCTTATACTGTTAAAGACAGATGTTAAATGTTTTAATGGCTGTCTATATTGAAGCTACTACAGATGACTCTGTCCTACAGTTTTCAAAAGATTATTCATTAATCTTTGAGAGGAGGCCCAAGAGGTTTCTGAGTCAAAAGAGACTAGGAGTAACTAAGAGCATTTTTACAATAGATTCCTGTTCTATTCCTATTTGTCACATATTTATAGGCTTCTTGTTTATTGTATATTTCTTTTCTTATGCTTCTAATTTATTTATTTATTGTATATTGTACAGGTCCAAGAATCCTTGGGATTTGGTGACCTGTATTACTTGATGATCTAATAAATAATAATAATGACAATAAATGCACCCCTCAGTTCTGCCTTGCATCATATAAGGTTTTATCCAGGAACTTCTCATCATAGATTTGACCAGTCACTCACTTTATCCAAAATATTGTTAAAACTGAGGGAAAAAAAAGAATGAACAACAGGCAGCGTTACCAAGGACAAGAGAGTAGAAGCACAGAAGTGCAAGAGCTATTGGCATAGAAATTGACACAGAAAATATGGTCTCCCATGACATATATGTACCCGAAGTTGACTACATGTAGCCACTTACGCCACAATAAATTGAAAAACACTACCTGAGTTGTGGAACACCTAAACGTAACCTGAGGCTGCCTCAATCTCTGATTTGCCTCAAGGTATAGGTGAGGACGTCCAGACAGATGGCCAGATTATGATGGCTAGAGTGTTCTCACACTATGGTAAGAATGATGTTTGGATTTGACTTCAGAAAATTATGTGGAAAATAGGTTGCTTTAGTTATAGTCTTAAAAACCAGCAGTTAAATAGAGAGCCCTTGCAGAGACTGTGCGTGCAACATTTTCAGTTAAGGAAAATAAGTCATTATCTATGTTGTATAGGTCATCTAGGAATTAACAAGCCTAAGTGTCTCCTGATATGTATTTTTACTATGGAATTGCTTACCTCCAGAGATTAGCAAAGTGCCCTCCCAAATAGTTTTTCGGAACACAGCTAGGATTGAGTTCTTCCTCAGAGTTTCTAATGAAATAAAGATATTCAGGAAGTTCCTTTCGAACAATTGATTTGGGGTTGTGAAAAGGTTGTTATAGTTTGTACACTTAGCTTTTTATAAACCACTGGGAGTCCTTGTGGGAACTAGTGGTATATAAATTCTGTAAATAAATATAATTAATAAAGAAGCATAGACCCCATGCAAATTTTTATGGACATAGCAGAATACAAAAATTCAAACATATCATATAAAAAGTTTTAACATACCTTAAAAACCACTGCCTGTTACAGTAATGGTAAAACTTTTAGCTTTTTTTTTTATAAAAGCAAATTCAAAAATAAAAGACACTAATGGACCACATTAAAAGATACAAAGCAGGAGCTGTAACAACCACCAAAGCTTCAATAATTGTTGAAACCTTTTTCCCAGTTACAATATTTCCCTATGAAACCATTTCAGATAAAGGGACTAATTATATATGTGGAAACATTGTGAAATAGAATATTTCAAAACAACAAACGACTAGTTTTACAAACTCAAAAAATGTACCATTAGTCTTATGTTAGGAAAAATTCCTGTAACCTGGATGAAGAATTGTCATACTTTGTCTTTGCTTATCAGCTGAATTTGCTCTTTTTGGATTAATGCATGGAAGCAACTTAAGAGAACCTTTGGATCCATTAAAAGGAAACTGGAAGAATATTTCTGTAGTGTGTTTTGTACTGCAACTGAAAAAAAAGTTTGGAAAGATGATGAAATAAGCAAAGAGAAAATTTCTGCTACTTGATTGCTGCCTCAATGAAACAGTCAATCTTTACTGGATCTTTTATTGGTTTTCTTGTAGTTCATGATTTTCTTTGTAATGGTCTCCCACTTGGTTCTTCAAAATAGAGAAGGTTCTTCAGCCTTCTCTATTTGGATTAGCAAATCAAAATTGCTGTGCTCACATATGCTTGATCAAAAAACCTGAACCATTATACTGCTTATCAGAGTGGTTCAACACAAGAGACTAAGACAATGAAAGCTTAGACTAAGATATTGTTTAACCCTAATCACTACATGTTTTCAGATTCTTTGTCTGTTATATAAAAATATTGTAGCAGATCTCAATGAACAACTTCAACCAGATGTAATTGTCAAACACTGCATATCTTTTGGATATATTGAAAATCAACTTTCATTATCTCAACAGTCATGACCCTGGTGGCTCAGTGGTTAGAATGCAATATTGCAGGCAAACTCTTCCCGGGAGTTTGATCCTGATGGGACTCAAGGTTGACCCAGCTTTCCACCTGTCTATGAAGATTCTCAGTCACCTAGGTCATGGTTATCCCAATAGTCCTTTTTTCAAAAGGCAACTGGACTTTCTTTGTTTTTCAAATCCTTTCATTCCCACCATTCAGTCAGAACTGAAGAAACTTCTTGAATGAGAAGTGAACATCTTCCAGGAAAAACAAAGAAAGCCCAGTAGCCTTTTGAAAAAGCACCTTTTGGTCAGCCTTTCACCCTTCCAAACTTGGTAAAATGAGGGCTAGGATTGTTGGGGGCAATATGCTGACATTGTAAACCACCCAGAGAATGCTGAAAAGCACTATGGGTTGGTATATAAGTCTATGTGCTATTGCTATGGCTATGTTGGGTAGAAATTACAACTGTAAATGCCTAGGAAGAGCACCTGATTCTGGAAGACAGGGTTTTGGCATTCAAGTAAGCTTGTGGAAGTTCTTTTCAGCCATGCAGGCAGGGGTAAGTCATTTCTCTATCTAACCTAATTCACAAAGCCACAGAGAATAAAATGGATGAATGGATGATTCAGATCAAGGAGAGGGAAGGCCAACAGCATGAGATAATTTTAGCCCTGGCAGTGATCAATTACTGCAAATAGGAAAGGCCATCTACATTTCAGAAGTCATGATAGTGGGTGGGGAAAAGGCCTTGGGATGGTGATTGTTGAACAAGGAAAAAAACCCCTAAGGCATGAAAATAGCAGTACATATCCCATAATTTATCTGGAATGTATTTCAGGCTGGCCAATCTCTAACAAAGTATAATGAACGCAGTATATCTCAAATAATATGTGGCACTTTCCTGCATATAATATTCTTCCCACTGTAGACTTCCAGTGAAAATGAACAGCTACCTTGGGGTAGGCTAAAGGAAAATGGAGAAGGAAGAGAGATCAACTTAAAACTCAGCATATTAAGAGAAAGCTTGAAAAAAATGGATGCATTTTCAGGCAAAGACTGATTCATTTGAATCCAGACAAGGAATGAGTATCAAAGATCAAGTGCTCCTAATAAAAATGAATGAATGTATAAATCAATGGATACACTCTTTTTTAAAATGAAGAGAGAAATGTTAAATAGTTATGGGAGCAGGCAAAGTTTGGTTAAATATGTCCCTGGCTCTGTTTTATGTATAACAAGTGTTAGTGCTTAAATGGATTTAAATCCCAGAAGGCTTACTAACATCCACATGAGCCCATCTGCACTCTATGTAGAGGGCCATTTGACACATGACTAAAAAAATTAAGGGCAAAAGTGACAGCATTTTGCATTCAATTAGCATACCTAATGAATGTGTGGAGATGCATAATTAGAAGAAACTACTAGTAATTTAAGTAGAAGTGCAATACACTGTAATAAGGAAGAGTATGACCAGGTGGGCTGTGTAGTGCTCATTCTGTCATCAAGGTGCAACTTGATGATGGATAACTTTAATACGAGCTATTTTCCCTACTTTGACTTCAAAGCAGTCTTGAAAATGTCTTCAAACACAGGAAACGCATGTAATGTTGAATATGTAACTATCCTGTACTCAGATCACCTTCAAGGCATTTTATCTGAAATGAGAAGGGTAATAACTGGAAGAACAGGCTTTGGGGCTGGGCATCCCACTTATGAAATATAAATACATTTAGGTACTATACACAATTGTTTTAAAATTTCCTTGGATCTAAACTTTCTTTTAAATTTTGGTGGTATGCTTTTAATTGTAACTTTTATTTTGATGTTGGCTCACTGATCTCTTTTACTTTTTTGTCTTTTTTTGCGTGGTTTTATAGTATTACCCAAAATATACCTTTATAATGAACAACCAGTCATAATTTGCTAAGGGCAAATAAAGAAATAAAGTCAGTTTACTCTGGCTGAGGTAGGCTTTTGAGAGTGAATTTCAGATGTGAGCAAGAAACACTCTAAAGTTTATATTATTTATACTATGCAGATAAAATAGAACATAAGGCACAATAACAATACAGAAGTGCAGGCTGTCCAGGATCAGTAACAGGGTCCAAGGTTGTTACTGATACTGTTTTGGCATTTATTTGGTTTTTTATTTAGCTTCTACCTGCATCCAGTGGTATTACACATTATGGATCAGGATACAGCACAAATTAAAAGAAACTCTGAAATCCCAAATACAGTGTTACATTAAAAGTTCTCTTTCTTGAAACCTAGACCTGGATGAGACTATGGTTTCCTATGATGTGACTTTCGTCTTCACCTGCATTCCAACAACTGAAGCTGACACAGTAGTAAAGAAATGACTACTAAAAGACAGCACCTTAGGTGACAGAACCAACCTCAGCCCAGACCACATATGTGCTATGCTGGACCTCTGCCTGACCACTACCTATTTTAAATACAGACAGAAACATGGCTGTATCATGGGTTCACCTGTTTCACTCACTGTGGCCAATCTCTACTTGAGAGAGGTAGAAACCAAAGCTCTAAACTCCTTCACAGGAATTCCACTCACTCACTGGTATATATATGTGGATGATACCTGAGTCAAGATCAAAATACAGGAATTGGAAGTGTTCATCAAATACATCAACTCTGTAGACAAGATACATCAAATTCACACAGGAAGATGTTTAAGGAAAATAGTCTGGCCTTCCTGGATTGTGCAGTACATATTAAGGAAGACAGAAGCCTTACCGAAGTTTACAGAAAATCCCCACACATGATTCAGTATTTACATTTTGATTCTCATCACCCACTGGAGCACAAAATGGGAGTTATCAGAACCCTACACCACTGAGCTGAAGGTCTGCCTACCAGCAAAGACAGGAAAGAAAAAGAACTAAAACACATCAAGGAAACCCCAGAACATGTTGCTATCCCAAGTGGGTCTTCATCAGACCCCAAAAAAGACCCAGCTCCTCCATAACAGACAAAGAAGAAAACAATAAACAAAGCAACGTTATCATTCCATATATTGCAGGAGTACCAGAAAAGTTCAGGAGAATCTTCAGCCAACCTGCACACTTCAAGCTCACGAATACACTAGGGCAGAAGCTTGTCCACCCGAAGGGTAAAACACCCAGACACAAACTGAACAATGTGATATATGCAATACAATGCAGTGACTCATGTGTAGATCTGTAAATTGGGCGGGAAAAATAACCACTTCATAAATGCATGATATAACATAGGAGAACAAAACCATCAGGACCAGATTCAGCAGTCCATCTGCATTTAAAAGACAAAAGCCACTCTTTTGAAGACAGCAAAGTCCACATTCTGGACAAAAGGATCACTAGTTTGAAAGAGGGGTCAAAGAGACCATCTATCTCAAAATTGAACAGCCCTCTCTCAACAGAGGGAGAGATAAGACATCATCTATCTCCAGGCCACAACACAGTCCTTTCAGCAGTTCCAAGAAGGCTCCGCACCCATTTGCACTACTCAGGTGACCTTGAGGACATAGATAAACCTCCAAGTGGCCTCAACAATGCTCTAAGGAATACAAATGACCATCTTTCTGCAAGGAGTATAAATCCTTCCATTCCCCACCATCCAATCAGAGCTGAAGACGCGTCTTGGATGAGAAGCGAAATGTCTTCAAAGAAAAATAAGGAAGTCCAGCACCTTTGGGATAACTATGACCTGGATGACTGAGAATCTCCATAGATATTGAAACCTGGTGTTCTGTTTTTCTTTTCTTTGGTTAGCAATTCAATATTGCTGATACTCTAGTAGGATGTAAGTTCAACTAGAGCTGAAGTAAAAAACCATGGAATTAGAGGGGGTGGAAATTGCTTCTGTCATAAGCTTAGTGTTGTATCTTGGCATTTTGGGATCAATCTCAGCCTGTTGTGCCTCCCCTACAGAAGACAATTTATGGATGGGGGAGGGGGTCGTAGTATCTAATAATATGGTGCTGGCAGGAAAGAATAAGAAGTATTTTTCATGTAAACTATTAAATATGAGGTTAAGACCTATTTTAATTATTATGCAGGTCACTGTTATGCAATATTACTCAGAGATAAACCACTATGCAGGTTAACTGGCCAATGCCCATTTGAATTGAAGCATGAAACACTAATATTTGGCAATCACTGATGCAAAAATTATTCACTACTCAGAGAGGTCAAGACATCACAAATAAATCAATATGTCAAGAAATACTGTTCTGAATATAATCAGCATGTCATTTTTTATTTCTCTGGTCTTAGGAAAATCATTTTCTTAGTCTTCCAGCTCCATTCCCATAGGCTGTTGCTTAAGGTACTGAGCTCTGAGGGGAGAATGCAATCTTTCAAGTAGGAATTCTATCTTAGGTGAATCTTGTCTCTAAGCACTCATTGGCATAATGATGCCCCCAGGTAAAGATATTGAGAAATGGCAATATAGTTGGAAATCAAATAGCTAATTCATTAAAAAGGACTCAATTTTTTGATTAAATTATTCATTGCAAACCATTCTTAGCTTCCATCAGCACTTTCGCAATGTTATCTTCTACCTAAGCTGCATGGAGTGAGAACACTGGTCTTCAGAATTGTAAGGTATTTTCTAATTAGCCAGACACACATGGACAAGCTGGAGTTTACTTTTGCAACATACCTTGTATGATTGGGCTAATATGATGAAGATGATGATCAATAGACATGATCATGGGACTCACCTGACTTGGTTTGGTCTGAACCACAAATACCATGTAACCCAATGCCATTTTAAGGGAAATGATAGCTCACCTGATTGTGCTTGCACAATATCTCAGCCATCTATATGGGGGCTGGTGGACAGTTCTAGTTTGTGTTTTAGTTTAGGATTTTATTGTCCAGTTGACCAGAAAAAGAGTGAAATTACCATCTGATGTAGGTGAGTTTAGAATTGTGGCATAAAACGTGCTGAGTTATACTCCAACAGTTGATTTTCTATCAAGAGCTATTGAAGAATTTGTAGTGATGAATTGATAAATGCGAATGATACTATGGGTGTAACCACACTGAATTCCTAAGTCCTAGTGTAATTAGTGAGTTGTATATTCAGAAAGTACATTAAAGATCCAGAGAAGAACATAGTGTAGGTTTCAGATGAGCTTATTCCAACTTCTTGCTATACTTTGCCACAACCTGGGAATCTTGTGAATACTTGGAAATCTTGGGAGATGAAGTTCAATAGATCTAGAGAGGGATAAGGTTGTTATAGGCCTCATTTCACACCTGAACAGCCAGGTATGCTGGAAAATACTGGCAGAAGACATTTGACCTATTGCACTAGTTCTGATACTTGGGACTCCTGCCACTTTGTCCTCGTTTGACAGGGAGAAACAAATGGATCGTCCTAGCAGAAGTGGATAGGAGGCCGCAGCAGAGCCAGCAGTTTTGCATTCATCTGTTTTCAGTCTGTCTTGCATGATTTTGGTAAGTTTGGTTCACAAATAATATTGTCTCTTTCTTTTTTAATTATAGTTCTCTGACTGCTGCATGAAGCTCAAATTTATATTGCAATAACAATAATAGAGTTGGGAGGGACCTTTGAGGCCTTCTAGTCCAACCTCCTCCTCAGGCAGAAAACTCTATACCATTTCAGACAAATGGTTGTCTAGTCTCTTCTTAGAAACTTCCAGTGTTGAAGCATTCACAACTTCTGGAGGCAGATTGTTTCACTGATTGATTGTTTTAACTCTTAGGAAAGTTCTCCTTAGTTCTAGGTTGCTTCTCTCTTTGATTAGTTTCCATCCATTGTTTCTTGTGCTGCTTTCAGGTGCTTTGGAGAATAGCTTGACTCCCTCTTCTTTGTGGCAACCCCTGAGATATTGGAACACTGATATCATGTCACCCTTAATCCCTTTTTTCATTAAACTAGTGATACCCAATTCCAGCAACCGTTCCTTGTATGTTTTAACGTCCAGTCCCCTAATCATCTTTGTTGCTTTTCTCTGTACTCTTTCTAGAGTCTCAACATCTTTTTTACATTATGATGACCAAAGCTGGATGCAATATTCCAAGTGTGGCCTTACCAAGGCGTTATAAAGTGGTATTAACACTTCATGTGATCTTGATTCTATCCCTGTTAATCCAACACAGTGCAGTAAAGCTATTTATATAGTGTTTTCCTTCACAATGATTAAGTCCATCATGCATTATTGTGCATCCTTGCCTTTTCTCAAGCATTAGAATTGTATTTTGCTGAAGATGGAAGATTTGGCGTATGTATGTATGTATGTATGTATGTATGTATGTATGTATGTATGTATGTATGTCACAAAAGAGTATGTATGTTACAGATGCTTTTTCTCTGAAATGTTAGTAATCTAACAACTTTTCTCATCTAAGCAAGCAGCAGCCTAAATTCCTTGGTTTGTATCTTCAACTTGTCTCAAAGTGCCACGTTAAATGAGTAAGAATAAAGAAAGTAAACTCCTTGCCCAGGTGTGAAAAAGGACAAATATTGCTAACATCAAAAGGATGGTGTTATGTTGTCTGATTAGCATGGAGAACTCTGGATCCTCACCAAGAGAAAAACTTCCTTAGATGACTTTTGACAAATCCCTGTCTCTCAAGCTATGCAGGCTCACAGAGTAGTTGTGGGGATAAAATTGGAGAAGAGAAAACTATGTGTGCAATTTTAAGCTTTTGTAGAGAACATGAGATAGAAGTGTAACAAGCAAATAAGCATCTTTTGCCCCATTGCCCCTGCTGAAATAAACTAAAACTGCAATATTAATTTTGAGAAATTTAATATTGCATATAGAATATAGGGGAGAAAAACCAAGGGAATCTATTTATCATACTTTTTACAGATTCAAATTTGTGACTAATTCAATACAGTTATTATTTTACTGAATATTTATGCATTAGGTATTTATTGAACATTTATGCATTGTGTTTAAGAAGAAATGGGTGGGTTTACTGGACCTGTGAAGCTCAAAATATAACACTAGACCATGAAATATAGGCATGTGATATTACGATGGAAGAAAAAAAATATTTTTTTACTATTTGTTTATTTATTATTTATTAAATGTGTAGGCTGTCCGATTTCATCATGACTCTGGGTAGCATACAAGTAGTAAAAAAATTAAAACACAGAATAAAAATAAAATCAAACATCTGGAAAAAAACCCACAATCTATAAAAGATCCCTCATCATACAAGTGGTTTGCCACCCAAGGCCTATAGACAATGCCAGGTTGTAAGTCTTTTTCCAATAAGATCATGGTGGGAACTTATGAAGCTCTGGGGAGATATTATTCCAGAGGGCAGATGTTATGGCAAAGAGGTCCTCCAACTTAGTTTCATTCATCTAGACCAGGGGTGTCAAACTGCCGACCCATGGGCCGGATGCGTCATGAGAAAACCGCGCCCACCCCATTGCCGGCAATGGAGAAAAAGCTCCGATACGTCACGCGATGTCATGTGACGTAGCAAGTTTGACATGTCTGATCTAGACTATCCCTCATAAACAACCATATGGATAATCATTTTTAAAAGGGCTTCTGTATGGCTTTTTGTGGACAAAATAGTTCAACCTATGCTAAATTAGAGTCTATGTAAAAAAAGTTTTTAGGAATCAATGAATGCAGTTCATTTAAATTAATTTAATTCTCAAAGCAGCAGCACTTCTCATTTTTTTTAAAAAAAGTCTTGCCCAGAAGTCTTGACAGGAAATCAGGTTATTCCAACAAAAAGCAGAGAGGTGCTGTGAAATCTGAAATAATTCTTCTGAAACTTTCTCAAAGTGCTCACAACACAGAATGTCATGGTATATAACAGGATATTTGTTTAGAACAAATAAAAGTTAGGAGGTTTTTTTATTCTATCATTTTCACTTATAATTAAAATATAAAATATCTATGACCAATGCTACTTTTCATTGGATTAATTATTTGTTGTAGTTTTCATGCCAGTGAAATTAAAATTAAATTGGTTCAGACTTACCAACGTTCTGGGGTATGATTCTCAGTATACCAGTCAATGGCAGCAGCATCCAATAGAAACCACAATGACGTCATTGTGCAAATGACATGACTATGTGACTCACACAAACAGCACCACAATGTACGTGTTGTCATTTGCCCCATCCCTTGTTAATATCTGGCCAAAAAATGGATCATCGACTATGGTAATTCATCTTTCCTCCATTTATTGCTCTTCCTGCATTGACTTATCTATCAGCAATGCTTCCTTTTGAATACTTTTTGCCTGCTGCCTGGCAATATTTACCAAGGGAGCACAGCATTTCAGCCAACTTATACAGCATGTGATTAATGCACAGAACCTCACTACTAATGTGTTATAATGATTTCACTTTGTGTTAGGCTTCAGCCAGATAAACATTTTGCATCTTCATGTGAAAAATAAATTGCCAGTAGAATTGTAAGCATTCCAATTCAGAATGCAGAAGTGATTCTGTCTAATGCTATCCTTGCCAGGACATGCCTTTTTAAAATTACTTTGTTCTTCCATAGTTTTCTTTAATATATTATTTTTAAAGTAAGAAATTTTGTAAAGGCAATGTTGGCAAACTGTTTTCTACTCCCCTGCAGAGAAGTTAACGCAGGGGTGGTGAAATATGGCCCTTTTATGACTTGTGGACTTCAACTCCCATGCTGGCTCTGGAATTCTAAGAGTTGAAATCCATGTCATAAAGGGACCACAGTTCCCCACCTCTGAGTTAAAAGGTACTAGATAGGCTGAGTGCCATACATAGTTTTGCCCTCCAAAATGAAGAATACGTGATAAATTGGAAGAAACAACTGGGAATCTACCTCAATCTCCAGTGTGTTTGCCCCTCTACCTCTATATGTCTGTGACTGAACAGGTACTCCTCAACTTATAAATGGTAACTTAGCAACCATTCAAACTGATGATGGACCTCCCCAGGGTGGGAAGCCACTGGGCGTCATTTGATCACATTTTGGATACTCAGCAACTGGTTTGCATTTACGGTGTTTTGTAGCATCCTGTGGCCACATGATTGCAACATACAATGTTTTTTTGTTGTAAATCAGCATTTACTTTTGGTTTCTGGCAAAAAACACCCATTGCAGATAATAGATTTGCTTAATGACAATGGTGTTTGCTTAATGGGTGTTGTAAAACAGGTTATAAAATGGGGCATGGTCACACAGTGACCCATTTAATGGCTTATGCCTATAATTTTGGACTCAGTTTTTGTCATAAGTCAAGAACTACCAGTAATGGTAGAGCAAGCCTTGGTTGACAATCTACTGAAATATCATCCCTTTCAATGGCTCCCATAGAATATTTTAATTATTCTTTCATCCAGTGGTCTCCCTGATGAAGTTGATAGAGGTAACCTTGCATATGGTGTTGTAGACTAGAAGCTAATGTTTTTTGATACAGTAAATCCTCAAAGAACTTTAATGTTGCTAGATCCCCATACATATGGAAGATCATATTGTTATTGCTTATTATTTATTCATTTATTTCTCAATTTTATATGGCTGCCTATCTCACACAAAGTGACTCTGAGTGGCGTATATAAAACCAGCAATTAAAACCACTTAACAACAAATACAGATAAAAACAATCAGGGAGGACGGGAGTGCATCAGAAAATTGCACATGTTGCAACTAGCATGTGGGATTCCCAGGCCCATGGGGGGGGGGAAACACAATTTGAAGCTTTTTTGAAGGTTATTAGTATAGGGGCATGCTTCGTCTTGAGGGGGTGATGATGTTCCAGAGGGTCCACAGCAGAAAAAGCTTTTTCATAGAGTTGACACATTCATATCAGAATTTAGAAGAACAAAGAGAATTTGAGAAAACAAATAAGAGTTTCATCAATGGATCAAAACTATCTATAACATTGTATCCTGATCCTCACCCTCCAACCTGGTGGCTGTTATAAATAAGGATGATCAAAGTTGTAATCTACTATATCCAGAGGCTGCCAGATGAGGAAAAGCCAATCTAGACTTGTTTTTAAGGGTTTCTTTTCATTTCAGCACTACACACATCAAAAGGCTTTCATTTGTTCCCCTTTATAAATTGTTAGATGGGGAGGAATAGTTCAATATTATAAATTGTTAAAACTCAATTAAAATTTAAATGATATAAACAGTGCTGAATACAGTAATCAAGTCGAAAGCTGTGGTCAATTTCCTGATCTGGCTATTTTTGCCTGATTTTGTTGTAATTGCTTTATAAAAAATTTATTTTGCTATCCACCTTGAGAATACCAATATGAGAATATCAATATGAAAGAGAAATAATATAAATAAATAAATAAATGTCCAAGATGCTGCTGTGTAAGGCAGTCTTTTCTGCCCTGAATACAGTATATGGAGCTATAGCACACTGATGGGATGGTAGGAGTCAACAAATAATCCTTAAATTGAAGTCCTCTTTTGGGACCGGACTGTTGTTGCTTGTTCTAGGTGGATTCTGCAAGCT